CCCGATCCATAACAAAACAACTTGGATTTGAATAAAAATTGGATAAGAATTGTGGGGACAACGAGTAAGCTCTCCGTTCATTTGATATCGGACGCCTTCTTTTAACAAAGTAGTCTTGTCCGTAAGCATGGAGGACGTACTATCACAGCTCAGAGATAAAAAAGGGAAGCGCAGCTCGCTCGTGAAGCCACCGCCCCGCCCAATGGCCACTGCAACGCCCTTCATTTCCAGAAATAAGAGAGGGAAGCGCGACCTGCTCGCGGAGTCTCCGCCACTGGCCACAGCAACGCCCAACTTTCATTTTAAAGAGGTAGGTGCTGGCTCGCTTGTTCCGCTAATACTAGCTCTCTTCATTTCGAATGGTGAGAGTGAGACGATAAGGGGAAAGAGCTGATACCAACAGGTGACAACTCACCCGACCACGCTCATTCTTCGTCTTATAGGCTGGTTTTCCTGCTATTCTCTTCACTCTTTCAAGTTATTTGCCATATTGTTATTAGCATTTGAGCCGCACAACTTACCATTTTTAAAGAACGTGTCTTCAATATATGAACTCTTTCACAAACTGAGGAGCAAAAAACAAAAATTGGGAGTACAACAACAAACGACCAAAACTTGAAGATCCTTTCTACCGAGGTCTCTTTGAGATAACCTCTTCCTGGCAATATGATTTAACTGCTTGAACAAAATGTTGTTAGTGGTATTGCCCCACATGTTGAGGGCATAAAGACATATTCTGTGATAGTCAGATTTTCTTGGTTGAGCCCGAAAACCCCGTCGTATCAGGAAGCGCCTGTCCGTCGTCACTCATGGCGTTATCACGGATGCACAAGTTATCCCAAATTCACAATGCTTATTTGGTCAATACAGTACTTACAGGTTCAGTTGATTACATACATATCAATACAGTACACAGTAGACTGTTCTCCAGCGCAAGCTGAAAGCTATTCACCTACTATCGGGAAGGCGACTGGTAACGAGGAATTCTGCGCTGGTAGCACGCTGTCAGCTTTGTACAGCTAAGAGGGGAATAACGTGCGATTAAAGCCGAATAACATGTTAGTGACTTATGACGTCATTGAAAATTATACAATGCGGGTTTCCTCAATAACGCGCTATGTAGATGTGCTCTTTTCTACGTCATCTACCACCTGTTAACAGGTAGGTGCTACACCGACATGGTGCTACACCCGCCCCAAAACTAATAAGAAGAAAACGAACCTTTTGAACATCTTCAGGTGGATACTGAAGAATACTTGCCAACAGCAGAGCGATATCCGGACGTTTATCTGGAGCTGCAGTGAAGTAGCTCAAGAACAACTGGCGTAACGTGACATCATCAATGCGATAACTTTCAGCGGATTGCCGCGACGACGCTCTGGCCTCTTCTAGTTGAACCTCAAGGTCTTCTGAAACACTGTTCCCTAGAAACGTGACGCAAAAATACCAGCTTCACATCATCAAACATACCGACAATCTTCTGCCGAGCGTTATATGAACTCCTTGCCGATTCTAACAAATCCTCGACAGTTTGCTTGTCTAGGGATAGCCGCTCCATTTCTGCACGCAGATTCTCAACAGTAGCCGTGAGCTCCTAGTGAAGTATAATTTGCATTTAATAGGAAAAAGGTTTGTAAAGCTGGAGAAAGATAAGCAACAAGCGCGAGTTCCTACTCGAATTTCTTCCTGGAGCTGACCATTCCTATGCGAAGCACTGGCTGCTTCCCGTTCATGATCAGCCGACAATTCGCGCACCACCACCTAAAAATAGCAGGATCCTAGAAATGTAACACAAGAATTACCATTTCAACAAGTAAATCAAATACCAGATTTCAAAACGAGTAAATAAGTAAACAAGGAAATACTTTCACATCGCGAGCCAAACAAATATAACGATGACGGCACATAATTGGTCTCCAAGGTCATTAGCCTCGTCGCAACTACGTGTGAACAAAGAAATAACAGATCATTTTATAACCCGTCGTATATCTCATACATTGTAGCGTACAACGCGTGCATGATAAATAAACATAAATAATGAAATAAGTAAAACACAAGTAAACAAATAAGTGGGCAAGCAAAGGACATTCTTAAATTGTTTTGTATTTTGTTATAAGAATGAAAGTTAATGTCTGCTATAAGAATGTTAGGTGGTATATTCATTTCGCTACGATCGCCTTTTTCAGAGTTGTAGCCATGGGTAAAAAAAGCACATCATCCTGAAGAAACGCTGCTTCCTCTAGCATTTCTCTAGTGTAAGGGACGAACGGAAAAACTCAAAATGCAGAAGATAAATTCATCAAAATTTTGCCGCTGGAAGAAATGCGACAAGTCAGCCGAAGTGACACTTTGCTGTCCTTTTATTGTATAACGCAGCGTTCAGACTTCGCGATGGCAGCGCTTCGGTCGCGCGTTCGACGCGATCGATGCAGTTGAAAGCATGCGCATCGATCGCCGAATCGCGCGACCGAAGCGCTGCAGTCGCGAAGTCTGAACGCTGCCTAATTCAATGAACATGCGTGTTCCATGTCATGGTATTATGGATTCACAACCAAATTGATGATAAGCTGTACACTTACTCTCGTGGATCCTGGTCTGGTCCCATCTGCAGCACTATAACATTTTCCCCGGTCAAAGAGCACGTGAACGGAGATGGAGGGCAGTAATACCCAGGTGCCGCCTCTTGACTCTGCTCGCGCTAGCAGGTGTCAAGATGCAGCGTATTCCTCAATGCCGAAATCCCGCATGGAACACGCAGTAAGAGGTAGAGAACAACTAGAAGTAAGAGGGCGCAGAAAAGTAGCGCATTTAGCTATGGTTAGACGTGTGGCTGGCCATGTGGCAGTGCAGGTGGTTGGTGCATGAAGAGGGTTCACGGGTATCACTACCCTGCACCTCCGTTCCCGTGCACTTCTGATTGCTGAAAGTGGCACAGTACTGCAGCTGCCAACACATACTCCTAGGACATGGAAACGACCAGGATCCACGGAGTTGGGCGTACAACTTTTCTTTAAATAACCTCGTAGCTGCATTGCAACTCCAGTTGAAAATTAATGCGGAACAATTTCTGATGAACACAAGTTTTGGAGTCTTCAAATCACACTACTTCGTTCATACATCACATAGAGCGAAGGCTTACCCAGATTAGATATTGTAATTTATTATATTATATATAATTTTCTCCAAAACGTTTCTCTAAAAATTTCGCTGCTAAGTCAGCTGGGAACTGCTGATCGCGAATTCTGCACCGAGTTTGCTTCAGCAGCGACAAAAAGGGTCTATCCACTGAATTGCCTTCAGTTCCATTTGGAACAGTGCACACCTACTTAACTTGCAGTGGGTACCAATGGAAGCAAAAAAGCGCCTATCAGCTTTCTATTGTACGGGCCACGTTCTCGACTTCCACACAGAATCGTAGTGCCACTTCTAGAGGTACGCACCCATGAAACGAGCCAGCTAATGCGACTAGTGTCGTGCTCAGAAATCGTGATTTGTCCTGTAAACGTTGCCAGCGCACTGCTCATTACTGACACCTGCAAATACAACCCTCTTCTTGCTACGCTAAAGTCGCAGATTCCCCGTCACACGTTCGTCCCTTATAGCCAGGGTAGGAACTATCGCTGAAAGCCGATAAGTGCCCTCCAGTTGCGACGTTTTAGCAAACGCGAGTTAGCAATGCCGCTTACATCACACAGCATATAATTCTCCCGCATGATAAAGCATCGACACTCTATCTGGAATGCGCCCTCAAGTAACAATCAGGAAAGGGGGGGGGTCTGAAAGCTTGTCAGGTCACTGACTGGCTGCCGCAAATTTGTGTCATATTTTTCGTACTTCCAAAAAATTATAACCATTTCCGAAAAGCTGATGGGGGGGGGGGTTGAATCAAGGAAAGACGAGGTGAAGTTCTCTGGAATATTCTCTTAAAAATAGAATTGTTGCTGTGCCTAATCAAACAAGGCAACATTCCGATTTCCTAATATTCGCATGAGGGTGAGTCATAATGTCTCAATTTTCACACCTAAAAATTCAATACTAAATAAAAAGCTTCTGAAGTAAATTCTAGAATAATACAATATGGTTAGCTGTTCAGTACTTTGAGGGCATAAAAGTTCATGCTTTTCATCAGGAATGAATTCTGCGGAATTTCCTGAATAATTCAATAAAGCTGAATGGGTTTGGAATTGACGTCAATGTAATTTCTCAAGTAAAGGCATGTAGTGTTACAACAAATGTGCAGTAAATCTTTGATATGCCGTAGATAATTGAAAACGGCCTTATGCACTCCACGTCAGGGCACATCGTTGTTGGCCATTCTCCAACAGAGGGGGTCATATTTGGTCGCTGGAGAGAGGGGGAGGGTCGTGTTTGGTTCCTGGCTTTCTGAGAGGTTGGTAATTTTCCGAGGGTTTTCCTGTTTCCTATGAACTATATATACCTCCTTCCCCCCGCGAAACAGCACTTTTCTGGAAAATTTTCGAGAAATCCCGGAAAAAGTTGAAGGAAGTAGGGGAAATCGAAGAATGGTTTGACAGGTCAATGAAGAGGGTCCAAGGGGTCGTACCAACTCACTAAAAAAAGGGGGACGGAGCTCTGCTTCACATTATTTTGACTCTCTCGAATGGCGCCTACGTTTACCAACATTCTACAGTAACTTGATCTGTTGGTTTGCAAGTTGCCAGCCGGTATGTCTGTCGATCTGTGTGTCTGCTCATCCGCAAAATGCACCTGGTGTGATAAGGGGAGTGACAGGTGAAAACAGACCTAGCAAAAACGGAAACAAACTGCTACTAGGGTTCCTAATGTAATGCTATGAGAAAGGTAATACCTTCCTATGCTACAAAAGCATCCAGAAAGTAGTTTTTCGGTCAGTCTGCTTGTCGCGGAAGCAGAAAGGAAGTTGAATTGTTAGTGTGGCACTATTGACCCTTCTTTGCCGCAATCTCCCGAAATCAAGCCAGTTTTTTTAAACCATTTTTTTTCTCTTTGGGCACATATGGCAGAAAAGCTGCCATCAGAGGTAGTGCTTGACCTCTTAATCATGAATATCATATCCGCTCAACGCGAAACCGCCTGGCACCCGGGCCGCGCGCCGGCGCCAAGATACTCTAAATCACCAGCATTGTCAAAACTTTTCACATGGGGTAGTTCGACCCCCTCAACACGACTATCACATTCGCTTGGCAAGAAAACTCTAAATGCCTCCGGCTCACTCCAACTGATACTCCAATTCCTCTAGCTCACTACCGACCCTCAGATGTTGAATGCTACCCTGCGGTGATGATTGTCCAGATTATACAAGAACTCGGCATCTATCTCCTAACAAAGCTAGTAAATTTAATCACTGAGGTGTTGATAATATGGAGAATATGATCGTAAAAATCAAAACTCCTGCATACGCGGTATAATGGAAATCGATTCAAGGAAGGAAAAAATGAAATAATGCCGAATAAGTCTTATAAATCAAAAAAAGTAACCACAAAATAACGTCGAAAATACTTCACAAAAAAGCAATTTTGAAACCTGCAAGCTTGCCAGAGCGTCATTTGTCTCGAAATGTAGACGTTTTTCAGCTTCATATCGAGATCTCCAATCTACAGCCGATTCTTCCGCAATAACAACCCGTTCTTGCAGTGAAGACAACTCGCTCTGCAAATCCATCATTTCGTCACATAGAGTACATAGAAAAAAGGCAAAGATCACAGTCTTTCTAGGATCGAGGAAACTACACATTTTTATTCATATCACGTAACTACTTAACCAAGTTGGAAAGGGATGTATGGGTAAAAACACGTCGCTGGGATTCGGGTCCAACGTAAAAACACGTCGCTGGGATTCGGAGTCCAACTCATCTTCTATGAAAAGCATCCCGTGTATTTCTTTAAAAGTCCACTTCGCATGGAGGATGATCCCACCAGTCACTTACTGAATGAGCTACGGCTACAGCTACACTAATCGCCCTTCATTTACATGGTGGGGGGGGTGCCATAATGAAATTCTGGCTCTTGAAATGAACCATGCCAAATGTGGTTCACCTCATGAACGAAGTGTATTGAATGCCCTGAGCTATTGAGAGAAGCTCAATTCAGCACAAATAATAACACCACCATCATCGTGGCGTTGGAGTGGATCTGGTCTCAGCAGGTCAACGCGGAGAAAGCCATACTGCAGTTTGAAACAACCACGCGGGCCCAGTGTGCGCATGGAAAAGTAATGAAAGAGTAGGCTTTAGCCCCCCCACCCCCATCGCCTGAACCTGACGAAATTCATATTTTTAATTAATTAAGTTGATTCAATTCTGCGACAGTGTTCAGAAGAATGTCCCAGAGCGTCTCAGGAGAAGCTTCCAGGAACGTAAGAAGCTGTCTAATCACACATTAGCGAGATTAGGGAGATCCGTACTTATACTCGCAATCCGAGCTTGCGTCGAATTATGGTAGCTAGGGATTCAAGTAAGGTTGTCGAGCCACCCCCATACGAGCCTATACTGACCACCACTCAATCATGAAACTGACGTTTCCTAGGACAGAGGAAACTCGCAAAAAAAACGAATGGTTTCCTATTTTCAATGGTAATTGCTCTCTGCACATTCAGATCATCATTAGGCTTCAGTGCAGCATTTGTAACCGCATATTAAATATTAACCCTTCCAGAGCCGCTTGTTGGTTACAGGCTTGTTTGCCGCGGATGATAGGGCGTGTCAAGGGAGGATGGGTTTGGTGCAACGCCAGCCAATTCTTTCCTTTTTTCCTTCTAACGAGCGATAAGGCTCTATCATATCATTCGTGTCGTTGTTACTGAGTTGCTCCAACATTTGGGGGGGGGGGGCTGGCGACGCGCCAAATCCACCCTTATTGACGCGCCCCATGATCCGCAGAGAACAAGACTGTGCAGAAGTAATATACCCTTTCAAGCCGCGTTCATACTTTGCGAATATGGTAGAGGGCGGCTATTGACCAAGGAAAGTACGCACCAATCCGGAGAGTTCGCGAACTCGGAGAATGCAAGCACGCACAATCAAGGAATAATTGAGAATCTGCAGACTCCGCTCTGCAGCTATCCGCGTGCCCTCTTCACTCGAGTTTTCTCCACGGTAATACGTGAAATTACCCTGGCCGTGCGATTCTCCAAGTCCAAGGATACACTTGCAATGAACGAACGCGACATTAGTAGTTACTGAGATGGAAGTGTAAAGGACTTGACTTATTGGAAATGGGAAAATCAAACGGAATAAAGTCACAAACCATCATTGACTGCGTCGTTTTCGCAGCATCGGTATCAGCGGCAACAACTGTGCTCTGTAACTGCCTAATCTGTTCTCGGAGTTCCGTTTCTCGTTTCTCAGCTTCCACTGCTTCCACGGTAGATGTTTCCTCGACGAGCAAAAGATGCTCCTTAAGCCGCTGCAGTTCTCGAGACAACTTCTCTCGTGATTCGCGCTCTCTAAAAATCATCCCTTACCTATTTATGTTGAAAGTTTCTCTAACTAAAATTGAAAATTCGAGTTTAATATTTCAGCAAAATTGAGCAACAGAGCAATCTATTCATACTCGTCTAACTCCGCAGACCGTCGGTGGTCTGACTCTGCAGTTCGTCGCTCACTGTCTGCCACTTTCTGCTCCAACGCAGCAATCTGAGCAATAGCAGCTTCCAACCGAGAAAAATAATCAACACTTTCAGCGTGTTTCTGAGTTGCGACCTGAAGTACACTGCTACGAAGCGACTCAACAATCTCTAACAGCAGGTAAATTCCGGGAAGCCCCATTTAGACGCTGCTATTTGATAACTTTACCTGTCGAAGCTGCTCGTTTTCAGCTGTAAGCGTACTCAGAAGATTCGCTTTCTCATTTAACTGCTTTTCAGCGTCAGCAATAGCCTGAAACGAATAGATAAGTGGGGGACATTTTCTGCCGGACTGAGCAGCTTCGACAGGTAAAGTTATCAAATAGCAGCGTCTAAATGGGGCTTCCCGGAATTTACCTGCTGTTAGAGATTGTTGAGTCGCTTCGTAGCAGTG